TGTTACATGGCATACTAACCAGCACTCCAGGTCAAGCGAAAGCAGATCAACACCATGTGGACAACACTATGATCGGCTATCAAACGATAGCTTCGTAAAAGAAGCAGGATCGAACATATTCAGGTCTCGGAGAGACTTGATAAACACACACGCACGCTTGGTGCTCACGCTACAGAGCTGCATTAGCCTAGTAGCTCCCACGATCAGCACGGCTTACTGAGCCCTCTTGATCGAGGTCACGATACCTCATACAGCGCATGTTGAAATGAACAATCAAGTCAATGCTCACTTTTGACACTCAACTGTGATGATGTAATGCATGACGGCTGTACCCGCATATACGTATGACCTTATCTCCGTTCATCTCCATGCAAGAAATTGACGGGCACGTTTGTACCTTTTTCCAATGACGTCGAGCAGAAGTAAAACGGGTGGAGAAACCACGCTATATGCTTAGGAGCTAGCAACGCGATTTGTTCATCACGGAGATAACAACGGCAACTACACGTCAGGCACAATGATGTAAATGCCGTTGTTGAGATCTGCGTATATATACCATTAACCATGCTGCTAATGTGGGGAACAGTGTAATACACAGCTCTCTATCTTCATCGACCTGTACTACCTCAATACTCATCGTACGAAAGACCGATCGTGCGATCAGTAACTAAACAACCCGTATACTACCTACAGTCTCCCCATCTACCAACACACACAGCCAACCGCCGAAACCATGACCGACCAAAAACGCTACACCAACAAACTGACCAACTCGCGCATCCTCGTGATCGGCGGTACATCCGGCCTCGGCTACAGTGTCGCAGAAGCCTGTCTCGAAAACGGCGCTCTAGTAACCATCAGCTCCTCCAACCCATCTCGCATCGATGCCGCTGTATCCAAACTCAAAACCGCGTACCCCTCTGCTGCTGACTCCTCAAACCCGCGCATCAGAGGCCTTGCCGTTGACCTAGGCAAGCCAGAGACGCTGGAAGAAGAGCTGAAGACGCTGTTGGAGAAGACGGTGGAGAGCATGCCGGAGAGCAAGTTGGATCATGTTGTTTTTACTGCGGGGGATAAGTTGGCGGATATTAAGTTGGGGGATATGGTGTGTTGATGTCTTTTATTAATCCTCTTCTTACATCTCCGTATCGGTGTATGTGGCATGACTGACAAGATCTCCAGACGATGCAAAACATCCTCGCCGCAGGCCAAATCCGTTTCTTCGCGCCCCTCCTGCTTGCAAAACACCTCCCGCACTACCTTGTCCAAAACTATAAGTCCTCGTATACCATCACCACGGGCGCTGTGTCCGAAAAGCCAATTCCCAACTGGAGCGTTATTGGCGCGTATGCAGGCGGACTGCACTCCATGGTGCGCAATCTGGCTCTCGATATGAAGCCCATTCGCGTTAATGGCGTGAGTCCCGGGGCGGTGGATACAGAGATGTGGGATCATCACGGCGAGGAGAAGAAGCAGGAGATTATGCGGGGCATGGAGAGTAGGATGGCGACGGGGCGGGTGGGGAGGCCGGAGGATGTGGCGGAGACGTTTTTGGGGTTGTTGAGGGATTATAATGTTGATGGGACGATGGTTAGGACGGATGGTGGGGGTATGCTTATGTGAGATTTTGGTTGGGTAGGTGGATGTATTTGCCTGGGGGCTGTATCTCTTGGATATCTCGCCTCAGATCAATGTCTCAAAGATGATATCTCAAGATGACCTCTCAGGATGGCCCGTCAAATGAGTCCGCAAGATAAACTCCACTGGTCGCAAGAAAGAAAACCCTTAATCCTCCGTCCTCGTAACCAAAACCCTCAACCCCTTGCTATCCAGCTTCGCAACCGGAATGAAGAAATCATGACCCAACTCCACATCGCTGACATCACTCTCGTGAAGCTCAAACTTGTACTTCCGGAACAACATACCCAGCGTGAGGTACAGCTCCACATATGCCAGATTGATACCGAGACAATTGCGCGTACCGCGACCGAAAGAAACCATGAAGCGCTCCAGCGGAATACCATCAGCGGTCTTGGGATCGTTGAGCCAGCGCTCCGGGATGAAGGTGCGGGAAGAAGGGAAGAGAGTTTCGTCGTGGGAGACTTCGGGGATGGTCATGGACTGTGAGGGTTGGGGGTTAGTTTAGATGCGATGGGAAGATGGATCATTTAGTGGGGTAATGACTTACAATGCAAGTGTCTGCGGGGATAACCCATTCCTTGTACTGCAGAGGCGTCTTGTGTGTTCTGGGGTTTCGAGCACTCAAGCCGTATGACATGCGCGCGGTTTCCATGATGATGGCTTTGAAATACGGCATCTTCTCCAGTGGGGCCAAATCTAAGTCATCTCTGTTGGGAAAAGCTTCTACGAGCTCTTTGTGGAGGCGCTCGTAGATGCGTGGGGTGCTGATGATGTGGAACGCGGCTGTGGAGAGGGAGAAGGCGGTTGTCTCTACGCCGCCCCCGATGATGATTTGCGCTTCATCCTCGAGACGCTTCTGTGTTTTGTCAGAGTCAGGTAGCTTAGAGCCGACAATTTCTTGGAAGATGGTCTTCTTCGCATCGTTGGATTTGATGTCTTCGCCCTTAAGGGTGCGCGCAATGTGATTCCGGTTATCCTGACTCGCATGTTAGACTTAACACGGTATAGATGCAATGCTGTGCCGCATACCTGCTTGAACTTGAGCACTGGCTTCACTGCTGGCTGCAGCCAGCCGCTGATACGGTCAGGGATACAATCGAGAATCTGCAAAAACCATGTCAGTTCCACGTGTGACTGGTGCACATCTTGAATGATCTAAATATAACCCACGGGAAGTATCATGGGAAACTGCGTGGCGATGTGACCCACACCGCCAACCCGAATAAATGCATCATGGAATGACTCGAATTCAGGATGCTTGAGCTGGTTGTAGTTGAAGCCGAAGAAGTAGTCCATGATGATGTCGCCTGTCAGGGCGGGGAAGGCATGGGATAGGTTAAGCGGCTCTGCATGAGCCTCAAACTCTTGCATGCGCACGGAGAGGGTGTTGACATGGCGGTGGATGATGTGTATGAAGTCGAGGATGGAGCGGCGTGAGAACCTGACAACAGGCGTTAATCGTGCCGAGGTGCCTTGCACTACATGTTGAAGCACCTACATGGGAGCCAACGCAGCACGGCGTCGCTTGTGCTGCTCCGCGTTAACGGTCGGCAGCAGGCCGCCTGCACACCCAAACCTCTTGTCCCAACCCTCCTTGTCGAGGTGGACGTTCTTGGCGTAGACTTGGTCGTAAAAGTATGGGTCTCGTATGTGCAGTTCATCAGGCGTCACTCTTACAATAGGGCCATAGAGATCGTGGAGCTTGGAGATTTGCTTCGAGTACTGCCCCTTGTGGACAATTTCGTAGTAGCCCTCGTACCAGCTTGTGGCTGCCGCAATCCTGGGGCCAGGAAAGCGGGATAGTGGATGGCAATATAGGCGGTAAACGACACGTGCGAGGAGGTACACAAAGTACGCCAGCAGGCACAGAGCGGGAAGAGACATGACGGCTGGCTGTCAGAGAGGCAGTAAGTCGATCAGGCGGCGAAGCGCTCTTTAGAGAGCAGAGTGCGCTCCTACATGTCGCTAAGGCATGTGGTGTTTGCAGACTGATTATGGAATGGGGTGCGTTTGACCCGGCATCCTGGATCCTACGGCATGGCCGACGAAAGTAGAGAGGTGGAAGATATAAGGCGAGGCCTGACCCCGCGAGTGCAAACGCTCTTGGAAAAGAACTGGAACACAGCATGTCAGCCCCGCAGGATCCAACAGCCGAGGGCAACCTGCAATCCGTCCTGCATCTCGACGTCGACACGGCCAACAACAGCGATAGCGATTCGGCATTCGGCGGCGAATCCACGGCATCCACGTCCATCGCATCGACTATCCTCAACTATGAATACTCCAATGGGCGGCGATACCACGGCTACCGGTCCGGTTCATACATTTTACCGAACGGTCAGTCCTAAGTGTACGAAGTGCATGTGAGACCAATGCTGACTTTGTACCTCCACCTCTGCAGACGAACAGGAGCAAGACCGCCTCGATCTCCTCCACCACATTTTCCTGCTCATCCTAGGCGGCAAGCTCTACGATGCACCCATCCCGCCTGCGCCCCAGCGCGTGCTCGACATCGGCACCGGCACCGGCATCTGGGCCATAGACTTCGCCGACGAGCACCCAGGAGCACAGGTCATAGGCACTGATCTCAGTCCCATCCAGCCAACGTGGGTGCCGCCCAACGTCAAGTTCTACATTGACGATGCCGAGTCGGAATGGGTCTACAGTCCCGACGAGGCCTTTGACTTTATCCACTGCCGAACCATGTCTGGCAGCATCTCCGACTGGGACAAGCTGGTGCGACAGACATACACGCATACCAAGCCCGGCGGTTGGGTGGAATTCCAGGAGCCGCTTGCGTTGTGTGAGTGTGACGATGGGACCATGGAGCTGGCAACCGACATGCTCAAGGTAAGTTTTGACTGTACGAAGTGCATGTGGGACGTATGCTGACTTTGTACCTCTACCTCTAGTGGCAGGAGTTGTGCCACGCTGCCGCTAAAACGTGGGGAAGGGACATCACGGCCGGGGACAGCCTGAAGCAGCGGATGACGGATGCAGGGTTCATCGATGTTCACGAGAAGCTCATCAAGGTATGTCTACCCTTTTCCCCTACACTATGCCGTTTACGAGGCTAATGCGGTACCTGTAGATCCCTATCGGCCCTTGGGCCAAGGACGCGAAAATGAAGGAAATCGGCCGCTACCAGCGCGAGCACATGTCCATGGGCATCGAGCCTTACACTCTCGGTCTCTTGGGCAAGGTCATGGGCTGGAGTGAGTCCGAGTGCCGGGTCATGATCGCCAAGGTGGTTGCGGATATTAGGAGGAAGGATGTGCATATGTATATCCGCTTCTACTTTACTCATGGACGGAAGCCGACGTGAGAGCTATATAGCAAGTATATATGATACCAGTCAATTACATTCGTCGCTTAACTCGCGTGAGCGCCCTTTCAACAACGGTCCTCCCTAGTTGAGGTATACTCTGGCCACCGTATATTTCCTGGTCATTCTCGTCTTGCTCACCCTCTACACTAGCGGGTACAACTCTGACCTCGTACTGTCGCGGCGGATCCCTCAGACCCGGCCAGATATCCAAGGGCAGAAAGTCACCCTGAGCCACGGTAAACTGCTCCCTTGCACGTTCATCCTCGAGGCGTATCCTGTCTAGCTCCTTTTGCGCTTCCTCAGCCTTCCGTTTGGCCTTTTCGTGCCGCCTCCGTCGTGACGACACCTCAACGAGGAGCTCGGCGTAGGCAAGGTCGAAGCGTTCGAAGAAGTCGCGCTGGCTCTCCCACTCGTCGATGCCGCTGAGCAGGCTAGGCCGTGTGTCTTCCAGCCATGAGGCATAGAAGGAACGTGAGGTCACAATGTGCTCTTTGACTTGGCCAGTGATTTGCGACATCATCTCGAGTATCTTGGACAGGGCTGACGACTCGCTGCGGACGTGGCGGATGTGGTTCTCGATCTGGCCCAGAAGGAAGGTCATCTCAGAGCCCCGTTCTTGGATCTCGGTCACGACGTCTTCCACCTCTTGCGCGTCCTTTTGCAAGACGTTGAGCATGTCGCGGCGCTCGTCTTCGCTCATGGGCTCGGGAGGCGCGGCACCGTTATCCTCGGAGTGGACTGGCGCATCTCCTGTTGCTTGGGTGGCAGCAGCGGAACCTCCTTCTGTGTGGCGCAAGGCTGTTATGCATAAGTCATAGTGCTGAACAAGCGACTGGAATGCCTGCGCAGCCTCTTTTGCGTGGCCCTCAAGATTATGGTATAGGCTGGGTATGGGACTCGGAGTGGACGTGGACACGGGTGTCATGGGCACGTTCTCGATGGAGGAGTAGAGATTATCCAGACATGTATCGAAGACATGGGAGCTCTCGTCGAGCGTGGCGTGGGCATCGTTGTAGCGGTCTATGCAGGCGCGCAGTGTGGACTGCAGGTTGGAGACGGTGGCGCTGTCGATGAAGTCGTAGAGATGCTTCTGGGGAGTGCCCGGAGGCTGCAGGGCGCCTTCAATGGGCGTGTCGCGCAGGACGGCGAGGGTAGAGTTGACACCGGCAAAGGAGGCGTCGACGTCGTGGAGCAGCTGCTTGAACTCGGCCTGGACTTCCGACTCGACCACGTCTACGCCGCGGCGGACGGCTTCCAGGGCATCCACCTGCTGCTCGACGAGGTTGCGGATGGACGTGTTCTTGGCGGAAACGACAGCGTTCTCTTCGAGCAGGTCACGTGCCGTGTTGACGATGTCGGTGGCGCGCCATAGGACCGTCTGGGTGTTGAGGGAGCGTTTGGCGGCGACAAAGTGCTTGACGAGATGCTCGAGCGTGAGCGACTGGGCGTGGTCCTGGTCCAGCGACGTCCTAGATGCAGCGCTGCTGGTGGGCGAGGCGGGCGAGGGTGGAGAGGCCATCGTGTCGGCGGCCACGGCAGCGGGTGTTGGGCATAGTGGCAGCGGTGCCGGTCGAGTGGTAGTTCGCGATGCGAGGCTCGTGATGGTGAATGATGGCATGCGCGACTAGAGATGGCCCGAGCGGCTGCATGGGGTGCAAGCGTGCCAGGGTCCACAGGGCTGCGGAGACATTGGCATTGCGTGCTGAAGATGCTATCCAAGCCTGCCATTGCGCCATTCCACCTCTTCGTGCGCCCAAACTCTGTCGCTCGCTAGCATTATTTATGCGCAACGTGCCATCGAGTCGCCGTTACATCCGCACGCACGCGATATCGCCCCGGAATCTCGACAGCCCTCGCATCTTGCCGCAGCCCATGAATTGACCATGGCGTCGCAAACCACCCACGCCACCACCGCTCCTCCCCGACCCAGACGTCTTTCATGGCGCCCCCGAGACTCGTCGCCTGACGACTTCACCGCCGCCACCTCGACAGACCCGCACGCTGCCCTGATGCATGGCCACGACCACGAAGGCATGTCGGAGCGGACACGACACCAGCACGCAAGCACAGACGAGGCCGAAGAGGCCCAGGCGAACAAGTCGAAGAAAATGGAGAAGATGATCACGCCATACCTCGCCCAGCACATTCCCCAACAATATAACCCCCTCGGCGCCAACAGCCCAGGGCAAGACGAGCGTCCACGCACTGCCAACACCAAGTTCTGCTATCGACACCGTCCCGACCTACTCTGTCGACGGCAAGCAGACGAGCCTTCCATGGAACAACTGCAAGAACAACTCGGCAGAGAGTCCCAGGCCGACCAGCAGAGCATTGCCAACGTCTGGTCGCTCTTCTCGGCGGCTCCCTCCCGCCATCGCAACCTCATGCTGCAGGGCATTCTCGCCCAGTGCTGCTTTCCTCAACTCTCCTTCATATCCTCCTCCGTCCGAAACCTCATTAAGATCGACTTTCTCGGCGCACTGCCCACCGAATTGGGCTTCAAGATCCTCTGCTATCTCGACACCACCTCGCTCTGCAAGGCCTCGCAGGTCAATCGGCGGTGGAGACAACTGGCTGACGACGATGTCGTCTGGCACAAGATGTGTGAGCAGCACATTGACAGAAAATGCACAAAATGTGGCTGGGGACTCCCGCTGCTCGACCAACGTCGCTTGCGCCATGAGAAGCGACGGATACAATTGCGCGCATCGGGGCGGGGCCTCAACGAATGGTCACCAAACATCACCCCACAGCCCGAGACCTCACCAGATACACTCGCCCATCGATTATCCCAAGGCCCCGACCCCGCTGCCAGCACCAAGCGCTCTGTGCCGGACGACGATTCTTCCCCAGAAGCTTCGAATAAACGACCATGCACCAGCCTCCAAGCAGGTCAAGACCAAGTCACATCATACTTCGATCATCCTAAGAAGCGACCATGGAAGGATGTATACAAGGATCGCTACAAGGTTGGGAGCAATTGGAAGTATGGGCGCTATTCGACACGCATATTCAAGGGCCACACCAACGGCGTCATGTGCCTGCAATTCGACGATCAAGTCCTCATTACCGGCTCCTACGATGCCACGATCAAAGTCTGGGACATCAAAACGGGCCAAGAAATCCGCACCCTCACAGGCCACACACAAGGCATCCGGTGCCTGCAGTTCGAAGACAGCAAGTTGATCACTGGAAGCTTGGATAACACGATCAAGATCTGGAACTGGCGGACAGGCCAGCTTGTAAAATCCATGAACGGGCACAGCGATGGTGTAATCGGCCTACACATGGCAGACAAACTCCTCGCATCCGGATCTTCAGACAACACCATCATGGTGCACGACTTCAGCCACATGAAGCGCACCACCCTAATAGGCCACACAGACTGGGTCAACGCCGTCAAGATTGACCTCCCCTCGCGCACCCTCTTCTCCGCCTCCGACGACATGACCGTCAAGCTATGGGATCTCGACACCCACCGCTGCATCAAGACGTACGAAGGCCACGTCGGCCAAGTCCAACAAGTGCTGCCCCTCCCGCAAGCCTTTGAAATCGACGAAGACGACTTTGTCGCAAACGCAAACAACGATACATCTGATACCGCTTCCCTAGCCTCGGATACCGCCCCGCCTCTCGCCCATACCTCGTCTTCTTCTTCTCACCACCACAGTCACCCCGAAGAACCAAGTTTCTTCCCCGACGACCCCTCCCGTCCGTCTCCGCCCTCATACATGCTCACCGGCTCTCTCGACGGTACCATTCGTCTTTGGCACGTCCCCTCCGGTCGCTGCGTCCACCGCTTCTTCGGCCATGTCGAAGGTATCTGGTCGCTTGCCGCCGATTCACTTAGACTGGTCAGTGGAGCAGAGGATAAGACGATCAAGATCTGGGATCCCCGGACGGGGAAACACGAGAGGACGCTTACGGGTCATACGGGTCCTATTACCTGTGTGGGGCTGAGTGACGAGAGGGTCGTCAGCGGGAGTGAAGACGGTACCGTTCGTGTGCATTGTTTTACCCCCGAGGGCGCGTAAGTGTTGGCGTGGTGGATGGCATGAATGATTGATGATTGAATGAACAAACACTGTCGGTGTGTTCTCGTTACGCCATTATAGCGCTTTTATTCTTCTTCTTCTGGCGAGGGACAGGTTTGGAGTCCCCGCCATCTACGATAGGATCTCATGGGCATTGGCGTTATATAGATACCCTCCTTCCCTCTTTAGCGACAATGTAAATATCTGGATTAAATGTGCTTGTTACCTCGAAACCCATCGATCTGTTTTCGTTCCCTTGAGACCCTTCCTTCTATAGTGTCCATACATTATACCCCCTCATAACCAAAATATAATAACACAAACCGAAAAAGCTTTTCCTACCATTAATAAAACATACTCAAACGCCCAAACCCCTCTGAAGCCAACACACCGGCCCCTCCTTCACATTCTTCGTATACGACCCATCCAGCAATAACCCCCTCTCCTTATCCATCCAATCCACAATCTTCTCCGCAGACTTGAAGTCCAAATCCCCTAATTTCGATTCTATCCCCGTAACACCAGCCTTATCGTACGCAACCTTGATGAACATCGAACAGTCCCTCAGCGTCATGGCCAGCCTAAGATTGTGATCAAATGCCTCCGCACTACTCTTAGGTCGACAAAGCACACCCCGCGGATCAAGCGAACTCTGCAGATTGAGGAGGTGTTGCAGGAGCGCGAGGCCGTCGCCGATGGCAAGGTAATCCACAAGAGCTTTTACAAGCGCGGAGATGACGACGGGGGATGGTCGGGTTTCTTTACCAGTATTGCTGTCGAATTGCTGGGAAACTGTTGCTTGGGACCATGGTAGTAGGGACGAGGAGTTTCCATGCAGTAACTGCAGGGGACAGATATAGTTATCCCGTTTCTTGGGTACGGAAACGTGCATGGCGCAGGTGCGGCAGCGGATTGCTCCAGCGGGTGCGTTGGGGGATTGCGCGAGCCATTTCGGTTTTACTTCGAGGGTGATGGATGTACCGGGTGTGGGCGACATGTCTGGGAGGAGGATGCCCCAGCACTTTCGTCGCGACTGGGGGGTTGCGAAGGTGTGCTTTTCGACGCGCGTGTAGAGGTGGCTCATGACGTCTGGTAGGAGCAATACGCCTTCGTGGTCCATGAGGTGCTTTGTGAGATCGCGAGCGGGCTGTTGGGGTTTGTTCCGTGGACCTGGGAGGAAGAGTGGCCGGATTGCATGCTCGAAGCCGTCCAGGATTTCTAGGGACGAAAGATGTTTCTGGCCGCCTCTGGGTACGCGGAGGACTCTTCCCATCAGGCTTCGATGGGGTACTGATGTTGCTACGCCAGTTTTTTTGTCTTTGGAAAGTACATCGACGAACTGGAAACGTGTCGCGACAGTGCTGGTCTCGGGTCTGATCTTGAATATGACATTTGCAGCTCCTTTGTTCAGATAACCAAAAGTCACATGCGACCCAGCTGGTGTCGCATTCGTCGCCTGTACACAGCAGCGCGTCTGGCCATTTCCCTGCTCTTCCGAAAGGTGGTGCATTTCATCCTGGGTGAGTCGTATGGAAACCATGTTGGTCGGGCTCGTTGGCGTTTAAAACTGTCGTTGCTGGTCGGAGCATCCTACCCAGCCGCGCGCACACCCAGCCTGGCGACTATCGTGGGTGCATATGAGTGGTAGCGAATCTTGATTTGAGTGGAAAACAGGATGGTCTTGTCACGCGCGTCCAATCGTGTGTCTGGGTCTCACGAGTAGGTGTTTTTGGTCGCCAACGTGTTCTGCGGTGGCCCTCTGGCACCCAAAGCTCGTGCGGTTGTGCGAAGCCCGAAAGATGACGTAAATGTACCGCACCACGGGGCGCGCAGGAAAACCCTACTGTTATGTTGCGGATGGGTCGAGGCACGGTGCGAAGACGGACGCGACATGGTTGCCTATGAATCTCGTCCAGGCTGACTTTTGTGGCGCTCAAGAGGCATGTTGGTTCCGTGGTTGGGGTGGATAATCGCCCTGTCTCACGTAATCTCGCGTCGGCCAATCATGAGCATAACGTGCATTTCTCGCGACTTGTGACGCTCTCTAGTTTGTGCCCGAACTACCATCTTTTCTCACACGCCTGTCACGAGCTGTTCTCACCGCACTTTGAATACCGGGATCTGTCCACTCATCGCAATCCGTGCTACGCGCCACAATGCCGGCTCCCTCGCCCCTTCCAACCTACCTCTACAAGATCCTCCCTGCTGCCCCGCCATCCCCTCTCCCCGCGCGTCTCCCGCTCTCAGACCTCGACCGCAATGACGGATACATCCACCTATCAACGTCGGAGCAAGTACCTGGCACTGCCGACAAGTTCTTCAGCGACGTCTCGGAGCTGTGGCTGCTGAAGATCAAGTACGATGTGCTAGTCGCGGGCACCGATGGCGACGGGCAGGTTCATGCGGATAAGAAGGGTGAGCTCAAGTGGGAAGAGGTCGGAAGAGGTTACTTTGCGCATTTCTACGGCGCAGATCTGGGTAACGGAAATGTCGAGAGTGCGTACAAGGTTGAAAAGAAGGGCAGCTGGGCTGACAGTTTGAGCCTGGAGTGGTGAGCGAGGCTAGCATATATCGCGAAGGGCAAGACCTAAGATTACGCACCGCTCGAGAGCACGAAATAAACTCGTGAAATATTGATGAGTGCTCGGGAATACACTTTCTGGACCGCTCGCCATCTTAAGGGTTCCTTGGAACCAAAGTTGTCGAAACTCGTCATTCGACATCGACATCTCTGGAATTCACACACTTCATACAAGGGAAGAACCAAACACTCTAGAATCCACCTAGATGAAAACATGCAAATTAGATGATCTCCTGTCAACGTAGGCTCCAGGGTGTTCAGTAGTTTCCTAGGTTGTATGCTCAGCATGTTCAACCCTCTTCTTTTGTAAGTAGGGCGCACTTATCCACGCCAAAGAGCACGAATAGAAGAGCACCATACTATCCAGCATTGGGCATTCGCCGACACCTTTGATCCGTACGAGGGAAGGCAAGAGAAGAATCGCATCTATGATTCCAGCGAGGAGGTTGCACTACATTCTGAAGTGATGGGACAGACAACATCAATCCTCCGCTTCCTCGTCCGGGGCCGTAAGGACATCAAACTCAAAGCCATTGTGGAAGTGGTTAGTAGATTACCATCACTGTCTCTCGATTACCACAATGTAGATGGGCATTCAACCTGCAATCAGATAGAACTAGCAAACTTCACATGTCGCATGAAAATGAATGCGAAAATATGTGGATTCCAGTTAGCGAGGCACTCAAGATCGTCCTGAAGTGGGGAAGTACCAAACTGGATGCCGATGCATTGGCGAGGATAGTGTACAGAGAAGACGATATTCTTATCGCCCGCGAGAACCAAGTCCAGGCAGTCTACAATCTATTGGATATAGTGGGAAGATGTGTACCAAACGGTATTTTCTCGAAACCGAGCAAACTCTGGAACAGCTTGAACTCAGATGCTACTACCGAAAAGAATTCACATACCGCGTTGGTGGACGCACATGGGGCAGCAGATGTTTGAGAAGCTAAGGAGCGATCTCGAAGGACAGCTCTGATCAAATGTAGCGATATCAGATAACGTTGACCCTTCAGCCAATGGGAAAGATAGCTAGGTAATGATACCAATCTACATTTACAAGCAGACGTGCCTAGGTAGTCACCCAAGGAATATCGTTGCAACCAAAGTCTACTAGCCGTTCGTAGACGACACTTTCAACTTCAATAAGACAAAGTCAAAACATGTACAAATCATTTATTCCTCTCTATTTCCCAACACTCCCCCACTCCTCCTCACTATACACCCTCTTGACCTCATACAACCCAACCTCCTCCTTGACCAAACCCCCCATAACCTTCTTCGCCCACTCCGTCTGCCCACTCGCCTCCAATTCCTTCCAAGGCAGTACCTCCCCACTAAACTCATGCAACGCCAAATACCTCGGCGCCGTATCCATCGCATCTCCAAACTGGAAGTCCTCCAGCGTAGATGCAGCGGCTAGTTTAAACCGGCGCGAGCGCACAAAGCCCGGTGCGCGGGAAAGAACCGGAAGGTGTTCTTCGCGGTACCACGCATCGAAGTCTGCATCTGAAGAAGCGTCTTTGGGTGGTTGGAGAGCGGCCGAGATGACGAATTTAGTCCGGGATGAAGTGGCTCCTTTGACGGCCTGGATCTCTTCGTAGAAACGGATGGCGAAGGCGGAGTTTTTGTATATTGTGTTGATTAGTTCTTGGCTGGGAGGGTTCTTGCCGGCTATGTTTTTGAAGTCTTCGCTTTCTCTGTAGGCGAGGTCGGGGAATTCGTAGGTTACCTATTGGCGTTTGGGGGTTAGATGGGGGTCATTGTGGTTATGAAGTTGGGGACGTACTAGCCATGGGAATTCGTTGCTGTAGACAGATGGTGGTTGGGGTTGTATGGCTTGGTAGCGTACACCGGAGGGCACGCCGCCGAGGCTGATGACTTCTTGGATGTGTTCCTTTCATTTCTTGTCAGCTTCTTCGTGGTTTTATGGGAAACTGCTCATGAAGAAGGATCGAAGTACATACATTCTCGTACCAATCGCAGAACTTCTCAGTAGAAAGCTTATCAGGATTCACGACGCGTGAAGCAACCCATAGTACACCGGGAGCCATGATTCTAGCAACGATGCTTTCGATTCAGATAGTTGTTTGGCCGTGTGATCGGTGAAGAAGCAGTGGATAGATGCCGGTAGGAGAATAATAATGTTCCGGCAGTATAGTGACAAGGAACGACATCGGAGGTACTACTACACTGAGCTGAACCCCGTCATGTGATGGTTCGAGAAATAGGACCGACCATGAAGCTAGCCATAGACTAAGGAACACGTTATCCGACTAGACCTCCCATAGTGTTAGTGACGGTGGAGATACCCACTTCCAGCGTCGGTAACGGCGGTTAATCCGCATCTCGGGTATGGTGTCGGGATGCGAGCAAGTGAAGCGAACTAAAAGGCTCAGCCATAGTACCAAAACATAACTCTTCAGGATTGAGGTAGAGAGATGACAAATAAGAAAGAGAACGTAATCAAACTCGCTAAATCGCATCTTCAGATTATGTCTTCAACAATCGCACTACCTGGTATGCCTCCAACACATTTTGAGCCTAGTTGCCTTTGAAAAACCCAACGAGATCAATCACCGTGCGAGTCTATTATGATACAAATGTATTCTCTCCTCTTGACCTCAGAGAAGGAGAGTAATAATCAACGTGATCAACCATCGCCACCGCCCGCGGCTCGGTCGAGGCACTTCCTGAGCTGTCCCTGACCACAATGTCGCATGCCTCCGCTGACAAGTAGGATGACATAGAGAACCGCAAAGCAGTCGTCAGCAGAAAAGATGGTGCATACGTGGCTGTGATTATGCGCTTGCCACTGGTTTCGTGCTCGTATGTTCGAGGGTAGAGGCTCGACGTTAAGGTTTTGTTGCGGGCTACTGTCAAGTCTAGCTCTTCTCGTATGAGCGCTGGACATCAAGCGACTGCTTTCCACCGTTTGCAGTTTGCCAGAAATCTAGACTGGCAATGACATCGGTGCCGAGTTCATCTTCATAGGAGTACAGGATCTGTATTTTGTTAGCTTTCTGTACGAATGTGATCTTATGTGATTGACTTACTTCTCGTGTCGAAGTGTGTAACCATCTAATGTTCTTGGCTGTAATGATGTGCACCAGACCGCCGCTCTCCATATGGCGTATTTCGATGAAGCTAGGCTCAAAGGCAAGGATGTAGGGGTTAAAGATGGCGAAAGCTTGTGGTGTGCCCTCCCAAGTGATCTTCCAGTCGGGCCTCGCCCGCCAGCCGTTACGGTTGACGAAGAAGGAGTAATCTGTGTAGCATAGCAGGAACTCGCTTGCCATACGCTCGATATGAATTGGCTTGATGTTCTCCTTGCGTACGACAAAGTCAAGCGAGGTATCTGCCTGGTCGAGCAGCGATTGTGTTTCAAGCGTCTCCAGACTAACAACTTCGAAACCGCGTGCACAGCCGACACATAGCTTGGATCGCAGGAAATGTATCGATGTCGATTCGGTGGGAATGTAGAACTCCTTGTAGGGCTTGAGCTGGTCTGCTCCGCTAGTGGAGAGCATCATCTTCGCGAAACCTGACTTCTTGTTCTTGTTGCCCATCTGCTCCTTTGGCTCGTACACCTTGATAGTGGTCGAGAGCGCGGATGTCTTGACTGCAGCCACTAGTTGCTGCCCTAAGCAGATGCCAGCCTTGAAGAAGTTGGCGTGGCAAATCTTGCGTGGCCGCTTGACCATGGACTGGGTCTCGTCGGATTCCAGAGCCTCTGTCGAGTATGAATATAACGTCTTGTCGGCCAACACAAGCACGATTGCGTGTTGTTCGAGAACTTCGATCTGGGTTACACCCTTGCAATCCAAAACACGACGAGGTCGCATGGAGGCATCCTTTGGCTTCCGCTCCACGACATAAACACCAGCATCCGTACCAAGAGCCAGTTTGCGACCACCGTCTGTCAAAAGTTAGTATCGAGATTATTAGTAGAATGATGAGATACATACCCAGCGGAACAGCGCAGGTGACCCTGATGGTCGGAGAGAAAAAGCCTTCGTTGACGATCGTCTTAGTGAAGATGTTACTTCGCTCCCTCAGACTTCGCTGCTGTGTGTCGATGTGCTCCATCCATTTCTGCTGAGATATGGGGGTGCTGGCAAATAGTGTCAACTCGTAACCGCCCTTTCCAAGATGCTTGAAGGTGATAGGGTATCCTTGCTGCTTGGGGTCGTTGTTTTTTGGAGTAGCAGCGGCAATGGCTTTGCCAGCGATCAAGTTGGCTGATGGTCTCTTGGAAATTCCCAACTTGGGATTGACCTCCTCCATCTGGGTGATGACCAACAACTCCAGAGGTATAGGCTTCTTGTAGACTTTCTGCTCTTCGCGCTTGTTGACAGTCTTCGCTCGGACCAACAAAACTGCATGATCGAACAAGTAACAAGTAATGTCACCAGTGGTCTCAGTGGGAGTCTTCTTCAAAGTACCCTTGAACACCAATTGCCGGTTCTCATCGGTCAACTTCAGATCCACAAACTCTCCAGGCCTAAACTTAAGGTCCTTGTTGAGCTGCATCAGATTGAAATGGTTTTCCGCCTTTCCAGATTCCACGTTGACCTTTGACAGAGTCTCCTTGATAATTTTGATGACCTTAGGAATGTCTTCCTTGTCGGGATTGTCATCGGCTGTGTACTTTGCGATGTTCTCCAAGAGCAGCGGGTACCTGGCCAATCTTGTTGTTGGTTTGGTAAGATAACCATTGAGCTCGAGCTTTCGCGATTCCTTCATTCTCTCTACCTCATCGACAAACTTGGCGAATCCGGTATTTGTGCGTTTCTCATGCTCAAACTCGTACTTACCGAAGAGCTGGTTCGCACCGTACTTTATGAAGGGCGCAAAATGTGGCACATACTCGAGGAAGATGTCTCCGACATTCCGAACCACGGGTTCCTTCTGCTGGCGCCTCGTGAGCTGTTCGGCCATACGCGAGTTTACCATGTAGACTTCCTGGCAGTTTGAGAAAACGGTGCGGACGAACTTCTCGCGGCGGTGCTCGGGGATGGGTGAAGTCGCGGGGTTACGAAGAGGCTTCATCCAGAAGTCGCGGAGATACTCCAGGTCCTTTACGAAATCGCGTTCGGTATACATGAGCTCAGAGATGACCTCTTGTCGCTTCTGCTCCTTCTCAGACACACTCTCAGAAACTTCCTTAGGCACAGTGTTGATCCAGAGTTTCTGCTCTTCATTGTCCTTGTCCTCATGCAAACTCGCCCTGGACTCCTCACGCTTGAGACCTGGCTGAATGCGCATGTTCAGACGAGCCTGCTGCTCGAGGCGGCGGGGGCAAGCAATGGAGTAGCACAGGCGGTCGCGGGTGCACGTGGGAGAGTAACATTCGGTGAGAAGCGTGAAGACGCCGTTGATCTCGGACTTGTCCTCTACCATAGTCTCGCGGAATTGGTAGATCTCGTTGGTCGAATCTCGTAGCCGGTGAGCGTAAGTCACATCGTGGAAGAACTTTTGGGCGTCCAAAGAGCGGCCGAGAAGCAGTGCTAAATTACGATCCGTCGTCTTGATGATGAACGAAATGAGGTCAACCGCGTCTGCGCCGGTAAAGGCACTCTTGTACACCAGACCGTCCTTCTCTTTCTCTGTTAGCCCAACTCGATCCTGGAAGGTTTCGGCAACTCGTGATAGCAAGGCGGGGTACACGAGCGGCGCGCGTCGCTGGGCGGCAGGAACCTGTTGCCCTTGTGATAGCGAGGTCATGGACTGGTTAGAGGTCCTGTTATTGCTGGCGTTGCTACCCATAGTCTGGGTGGAATCAGGACGCGATGTCATCGAAGACATGGTGTTGGTTCGTTCGGACGGAGGCACAACGGTCGATGCCATAGACATGGTGCGGGACTGGGTTGGCACGCTGCCTTGGCTGATGCTCCTAGGATTTGGCGGGAGTCCAGCGTTCATATGTTGGGGCTGGCCGGGCGCTCCAGGTGCCATTTCCGATCCGCCAGACTCACGTCTTCGGTTTGGTATGATCCTGCCGCTCATTGTCTGAGTGTGCTCTGGGTCTCTGGTGTAAGAGGTCATAGACATTGTCCGTTCGTCGGGACGTTCTGGAACAACACGCCCCTGGGCCGTAGTCCGTGCCATGTGGTTCATATATGGTTGTTGGCGGAAGGTGTTTGCTTGCGAGGGGTGAGAAGGTCCTCCGGGGGTGAATTGCGGGCGCGGATTCAGAGCTAGTGACTGCGAGCGATACGGGTCAGCGTTCATTGCAGGACCCGGTGGGCCGGGAAAGCGGTTGGGTATGGGTTTGGTGAAGGGGGGCTGCCCTGGAGGGGAGGTTCGCGGGTCAAAGCGCTGGGGCTGTCCGTATGGCTGACGCTCCGGGCGAAGCGGCTGGGGGAGATACTGGGGCTGCGGCTGGCGTTGAGGCTGCGGAGGGCCCTGGTGGTATCGTGGGTCTTGGCCGTAGCCGTTCGGCATGGGGCGATTGTAGGCATTTTGGGGGTCCATGGGCCGCTGCTCGCCGGGATTGCTGCCCGGGCGCGCGTCGTATTGGGGATGAGGGCGACGATCATAGCCATTGACCGGCTGGCGCATGGGCGGGGCGCGCTGCATCATGTCGGCAGTCTGGCTGGACATGGTGGCAGCTCTGTCGGGCATGCGCATGTGAGACTGCGAGGTCATGGTCTGCGAGCGGCCGGCCATTTGGGGGCTGGCGCCGAAGATGTTGGTGAAGGCGGTTTCCCGTGCGCCCGAGGGCTGGCCATGGTTGGGGCCGCGCGCATACTCTGGACGTTGGTGGTTCCCGTAGTCGGCCATGTCTCTGCGCAGTCTTGCCTGGTCGGGGTGCAGTGCCGCGGGGTGTGGCCGAGGGGAGGAGGGCGACTGGGGCAGGAAGGGTTGAAGCCGCCCAGCGAGGACCCAGGGCCGTCCTGAATGAAGATACGTGAGGATGCGAGGTGGTGTAGGTGCGAAATGGGCGGGTATGGTGTAGTCGTATCCACGATCGTGTGTATTAGAAGCGCTGGGGCGTGCTGCCCCCCGAAGCAGCCTAGTGCCATTCTCCTACGAACGCCCAGCGCAACGACTATCAATCATTCAACGCCTCACCCATCACGCGTCGACTCCCTCGCTACTACACCACCCGCCCGACCTGCGCACCACCCGAGCAGGCATCATGTCGTCAAATGAGCTCGCGCCGAGCTTCGCGCCGTTCTTTGGCATGGTGAGTGCCACGCCGTGTTGATGACTTCATAGCTAACCTACGACGCAGAGCGGAATCGCGTTTGCTGTGAGTAGCACCCCTCCCACGTAGCTGTCGAACTAATATACGAACCGCGGCCAGATGATCTTTGGATGTACGAGACCCGGCCCAACCGCTTGGACGTGCAGGAGCTAACGGCAGCAGGCGCTGGAGCTGCCTATGGCACAGCCAAAGCTGGCATCGGCATCGCTGGTATCGGAACATACAGGCCAGACCTGATTATGAAGGTGGGAAGCTGTCTCTGGTGTCTGTAGGAGCTCCGGCTAACAAGGGCAGTCGCTCATCCCCATCGTCATGTCCGGTATCTTGGCCGTCTACGCCCTCGTCATATCCGTCCTCATCGCTAGCGACATCAAGCCGCCGCCAGACAACACATACTCGCTGTATGCTGGATTCATGCACATGGCTGCCGGTCTGTCAGTCGGGTTATCTGGCCTGGCTGCGGGTTACGCGATCGGAATTGTGGGAGACGCCGTATGTAGCGTTGGTTCTACAATGGCGGCACACACTGACATATGTAGGGTGTACGCTCTTTCATGCGCCAGTCGAGGATCTTCGTCGGCATGGTCCTCATCCTCATTTTCGCCGAAGTCCTGGGTCTTTACGGGTACGTCCAACGGAATGATGTGACTAGCCAACAACTAACATCTTCAGACTCATTGTCGCCCTCATCCTCAACACCCGAGCAAGTGGCTGAGCTGCAAATCACACAATACTTGTCTCTTCTAAGCGTCTACACTTAACTCCTACGTTAAAGACAAACTTGGTGGTGGGCATTTGTACGACTACATGGTGTAGATATAGTTGACGAGCATGCAATACTTGGAGTTACAGTTTTCGGAGTTTGGGCATATCTAGTACAGTCGAATAGCATGTTATATCCTCGTATGGCAATTCGTATCGAAATGAGACGAACAGGCAGAATGGCAGAACGTCGGCCGATAGCGTGCAATTACGTCTGGTGCGGCCGAGTACGGGAAGTCTGTTTAAGCAGTAGCTAACAGGAACCTAAAAAGGCACTATGTTTGCTCACATCGGAAAGTTAAAAACACATCAGGTTCGTACTCGACAAGTGGAGCGGCGTGCCGTCTCATCAGGCTTAAGTCGGCTTTGTCGCAAGCCCAGTCCCCACGCCCTGCGTCATTGAGTGAGTGATCAAAAGCCCCCGCCATGCATGCACCTGGTCGCGCCCGCTTTATAGTCCAACGTGCCCCTTGGCCGCGGTCGTCGAGTGCTACACGCCCGGCCGACCCGCCTAAACACAGGCTGCCCTTCACGATACGTTTGCTTACTACGCACCTGCAAACCCGACGATTGACCCCGCCGCTGCCTGTGCCTGCTGCCATGAGTTGCTTCCGTTACTGATTCCGGATAAGACAGCACCTGAGCAACCCACCCGACCCCTCGATCGCGCCTACTACTCGCACCCCTACCCCGTTGTCGCAGGCGCATAACCCGCCACCATGGCGACTACCTTCAAGAACATGCTGCACCCCATGCAACACCACCGGGACAAGAAGGAGGCCTCTTCACCGTCGCATTCTGGCCCGCTACACGACCGCACCGATTCGGCCATGGACCGGCCGCGCGAGGAAGAGAAGCAGCACCTGGCGCAATGGGAGGCGCAAAAGCACACGCTCAGCCACGACGAGATTGACATTGACCCGGAGAAGAAGCCCGTCGGCCACTCGTCCAAGGTCCTGCGCGAGGAAGACTTTGAGCTGATCAAGACCCTCGGCACCGGTGCGCATACTTGTCCACGCCGCTAGACGAGGACAGGACGCTGACTCTACGTCAGGTACATTTGCGCGCGTGTGGCTGGTGCGATTGAAGGACGCAAAGGCGGGCGACGAGAACAAAGTCTTCGCATTGAAGATTCTGCGCAAAGTCGATGGTACGTCTGCGCCCTCGACATGCGCCCTTTGCATCTACTGACGCCCGTCGCCCAGTCATCCGGCTCAAGCAAGTCGAGCACGTCCGGAACGAGCGCAATGTTCTGGCTAAAGTGGCTGGCCACCCGTTCATAACCACCATGGTTGCCAGCTTCCAATCCCTGGACTCCCTCTACATGGTGGTACGTAGCGGCGCCTATTGCGAGCACTCGTCAATGACTGACATGGTGGACAGCTCGACTACTGCCCCGGCGGCGAAGTCTTCAGCTACCTGCGGAGAGCACGGCGCTTCAACGAGCCCACCTCACAGTTCTATGCTGCCGAGATTGTCCTCATCCTAGAGTTCCTCCATGAGAGGGAAGGCGTCGCATATCGCGACCTAAAACCCGAAAACATACTCATAGACGCCGAAGGCCACCTCAAGCTGGTGGACTTTGGGTTTGCCAAGAAGGTAGAGAATAGAGAGACCTACACACTCTGTGGCACACCCGAGTATCTGGCACCCGAGGTCATCCGGAACACAGGCCACGGCACAGCAGTCGATTGGTGGGCGTTTGGTATCCTGGTGTACGAGTTCCTCGTGGGACAACCACCGTTCTGGGACCAGAACCCAATGAAGATTTACGAGCAGTACGCAAGCATCCATGATACTCGAGAGAAGAGAGCTAACATCCCGTAGAATCGTAGAAGGACGCGTGCGCTTCCCTTCTGCTATGTCCCCCACTGCACGCGACCTCATCTCCGGCCTCTGCACCGTCGACACATCCAAGCGACTGGGTAACGTCGCAGGCGGCGCTCAACGTGTGAAACAACATGAGTGGTTTAAGAACATCGACTGGCAGAAGCTGTACAACCGCGAAGTCCAGGGACCCATCGTACCACATCTAAGAGGGCCCGCTGACACACGCAACTTTGATGAATACGAACCCGAGTCGGAGAAGAGAGACCCATATACCAAGGAACTGAGCGACAAATGGGAAGAGAGCTTCAAGGACTTTTAGGTCTGAGGATTTGGGCTTCACAAGGGGAAGCCCGAGAACGGGTCGTCGCCTTGGATGTGATGTGTCGAGCCTGAGGATCGAGACTCGGACAGAGGGCTAGAGGGAGAGCATTGGATATGCAACCCGGGTCCACCACGAAGCATTGTAAATGGAAGGCGAAGGGGGCTTTGTGCTTGGTGGGGTATTTTGTTGTTATGACGAGTTTCCCCGTTGCCCGCACGCTATACGTGCTGAAAGCGATACCGGTACGCTTTGGTATGAAGCGCATACCAGCTCTATGAAATGTGAACGTATCTTATGTATGAGGTATAAGCATTGCTAACGTTCACTACTAAATCACCCTTGTTGGTTTTCGTGCTCCTGTCTTCACTTCTTCTCTGCCGTCATTCAAGGAGGCAAGTGTATGGCACCTCATACACGGGAAAAAAATGAGCAGGTCTGCAGCCTACATCAATATGAAATCATGCAAAGTGGGTTCACCGCCACTAACGTAGGCTCCAGGGTGCGCTCGATTTTCTTCTTAATCGAGGTGATGGAAGTGTGAACGCACGCATCTACGTGTTCAAAAAATGGCAAAAAAGAAGGCAAAAACATACAACAGCGGGGATTCCCCGGTGGTCACCCACCCGAGTACTAATCTGCCGGTATCATGCTTAAGTACCGCTGAGCGAACGGGAAGCGCTGGTTTCATGATCCTGTGGTCGTATGTGGAAGAATGGGACAAAAATGTGATATATGAAGCCGTGGTGATTGAGTTGGCGACAATAAGCTGACGTAGCGACGGAACATAACTGCGACATAAATCTCTACTATAAACTTTGATGGTGTTTGACCGCCGCAACAAGTCGAGTAGGTCCGTCAAGTCTGTGAATATAATAGTCGCATCTCGTGATAAGCGTTGCAGTTGGCGACTACTTATGTATGGTAGCGACGTGTTAGGAAGTGCGGTTGCACATGTCAGCCAATGGGCTGTGGTGGTGCCCTCATCAGCCACACCACATCTGGCATAGACCATACCGTATATCAGGTTATCGCAACGAGGTGCATATATGTGGCGAAGGCTGCATCGCGAGATCCGGAGGAATCGACGATGGGTGTGCGGGTGCAGAGGGGCTACGCCTTGGAGTACAGGCGGCCCAGAGGAGATAGGAGGTGAGGTGGAGATGAGCTGGCGATGAACGCGCTGGGGTAGCCTGTGAAGCAGAGTTCAGGCGCTCAGCTGTGATGCACGACGCTGCTGCCATTGGGTTCAAACACGTCTTGGACACTTCAGGGCCTTGATGGCATGATAACTACGTAGGCAGACTGGGCAGACAGTCCGGTGGCAGGCCTGGAAGTTGGGCGGCATAAGTGAGAGGGGGCATGGGGAATGCGCTCCTCTTTCCAAGGCCCAAGCGCGCTTTGAGATTAACATGGTAATACTTGCTTGCAAGAAGCACAACACGACGCATTTCCTTTTCGTGTCTTGTAGTAATCGATCCATGCCCCTTTCCTTCTTGTTCTAATCGTAGTTGTCTATTCATTCTGGTGTGCCCGCCGCATCACGACCCTCTTGGATTACCGGCAAGTGATGGACAGCCAGGCCAAGCGCACCCCATAGCTTCGTTAGCAGCCAGGCCGCCATTTATTTACCCAACGCCCGCACCACGACGGCCTCGCAGCGCATCTCCAAACTGCATGCTGGGCGCCTCCGGCTGGTTGCTGGCATGAGCAGTATCAAGACGCGGCTGCAGAATGCGCGGTCCAAGTTGTTGAGACGCAGCAGCGCGACGTCGAGCAGTGCACGCTCACTCACTTCCTCGCATGGCAGCGAGAGGCATGCGCGCCCGCCGCAGACCAGCTCCCTCCGCAAGAGCGTCTCGCTGCAGCAGCTGCCCGAGGTGTCTGGCGCGGAGACTCCCGACGACAAGACAGCTGATCCGCGCATGGTCAGGTCGGATGTGCTTGGAGTGGCCGCCGACAGTCAGGCCGACGGCAACGGCAGCACTGGCAGCCTGAACACCTCGCGAGATCGACACTCGACCTGCACGAGCATCGCGAGCACCGCAAGCCACCACCACCACCACCAGCGCCAGCCCTCTGCCGACGTGCCTGTCGTCCTCCCAGAGGTGACTCTCGAGGCGCCCACGCCTCTCCACCCCGTAGTGCAGCAGCCTGCCGAGCTCAACCGCGCCGAGCCATCGTCGCTTTCTTCCGCCCCGAGCGACCACACCACCACCGAGCCTGTCCCCGCGAGCAGCAACGACACCTCGCACAACCCATCGCCCGCCCTCGTCCGCCGCCAGTCCGTCGTCAACAAGACCGATGCCCAGATAATTAAGAAGCTGCTCGTCCCCGACATCCCCCAGGCTGCCATCCAGACCGGCCCGCCCACCGTCGCCGACTACTTTGGCGGAGCACCCGCCAACTTCAGCGCTGGCATGCTGCACCGCAAGATCTGGGTCAAGCGGCCCAGCGCCTCGGCCACGCTGGTGCAGATCCGCGAGGACGACCTGGTCGATGACGTCCGCGAGATGATCCTCAAAAAGTACGCCAATTCGCTGGGAAGGAGCTTCGACTCGCCCGACGTCACACTGCGCATCGTCCCGCGCGACAACCAGCGGGGAGGAGACCGCACTTTGGGCCCCGAGGAGGACATGTGCCGCACCCTGGATGCCTACTTCCCCGGCGGCCAGAACGTGACCGAGGCCCTCATCATCGACGTGCCCCAACGGAGGACCCCCAAGCCCTCACCACGCGTACCCTTTTACTACCATCACGAAGATGGCGTCCACCCACAGACCGAGTACTTTCCGCCCATGCCC